TGATTTTCACTAGGCTATCAGCTCCTATCCAGATCTGAATTTACATCTGAGTATACACAATATGCTATAATAATACTTGCAATATACAAATTGGCTAAAGCTATACTTGATCCTGAAGATTCAAATAGTAACATGAGAGGTTGCACAAAGTACCTGCAACGGTTTTAAGTGCGTTTTATTCAGTTTTAGAGATTGCGGCGGAGAGGAAGAACTGGGAAACATCATGAAGCTAGCCAGGGATAGCCGTAATCAGCTATACTTGATGATACTAACCCGTAGATCCGAACTTGTGGGCTTTTTTATATGTATACCGCAAGCTCCTATCTACCGGTACATGTAGTCAGGCCAGCATTTAAGCTTTTCGGCGGAACCCTTCTCCCTCCCCTTGACACCTCTCTGCTCTCCTGTAAGAATGCTTCCGGTTCTCCAGGCGGGAGGACCTGTACCTAGAATCAGGAAGACCGACATTGTCGTGTAGAGAGAGGAAGAGAGAGAGAGAGAGAGAGAGAGAGAGAGAGGAAGAGAGATAGAGAAAGAGCAGACCTTGAAAAGTCTCTGTTAAACCTGATGGAACTGGAGGCTGTGTCCTTCAACCACAATCTACCCTCTCTACGCGACAATCGGTTTAGAACTTAAAGCACAGAATCAGCTTTTCCGAGACCCCTTCAGTTAGGATATCGCTTTCAATTAGACCGAAGAGAGAAAGTAATCGCATAGGACGTTTGATTGTTCTTCTTTTGACCAACGAAGCGTGCGTTTACCTTCGCTCTCTTATACTGTTATTTATTAGGTCGAGTCATAAGTAAATTCCGTTAAGTTCATCTTATTCCGGCAATGAGTAATGTTTTTTAACAAATAGTAACGGAACTTAATGACTAAGCCCGATAAAAGAGCACTTGCAGTGTTGCGCGAGACACTCGACCGGCTTGGCGTTAAAATCGATCAAATAAAAGAGAAGCTGGATTAAAAATTGTTCCAGAGAAGAGGATAATTAGCGACGACGCCTGGGTGAGGTAGTAGGTTGTATAGTAGGGAATGGAAATTCGCGAGATACGAAGTCCACTGTACAACTTGCTAACTTTCCCGGTCGTCGACGCCACAGCATTCCGTCCTCCAAGATGATTCCATCGAGAAGAATCCAAGGAGAAGATTATTGGCATCACGCGGTTGTGTGCGTGCGTGGGTGTATGTATATTTGTTTGCATGTGTGAGAGTTATCCACCGCCATAAGTTGTCAGCTGTTTCATTGGACCCGGTGATGTTCTGGGGTGTAATTGCACCCTCGGCAAATGCACGACTGAAAAAGAAGACATCCTGGCCGATGTACTAGGATCACTGTTTCCTCGAAGGATACTGGAAACAGACAAAATTTTGATACTCCGTCGTGTGGTTCCGAAAGAAAATTACAATTTTTGTATACTTTTTCATTTTTCCAGTACACTTACTGTTTACTATTATTTATTATAAATAAGTGCACGTTGCTTCCTTAAAGCAGGCATGGGCAACAAGCGCGTTCTTTTCCCCGGGAACGCTCCGTGTTTGCCTCAAAGGCAATCTAAAAGAAAGAAGACGACGGAAGACTGTCTGTGTTGCTCTCTCTCACTCTCTCTCTCTCTCTCTCTTTCTGTGTGTGTGGGAGCCTCCCTATTAGAGACGTATAGCTCTCAATTTTTAGCGGGCCAGGGCAGTGGCCCTAGAAGGTAATCCGTGCTCATGCCTGCCACAAACAGCTGGCCAGATGTAGAACCACTGGCATGTACTTAGAAAGGTAGTGGAAGAGAGCGTGTTGCGTGTTTGTTAACGAGTGAAAGAGAGAAAGTGAAAGATGAGAGAAAAGAAAGGGCAATGGCGGGCGGGCTGATTGTAAAGCCTGCCGCGTCGCCGGTCCCCTGAGACCCTAACTTGTGACGTCGCGACCGATATCTCACAGGCTAGATTCTCTGGTATTGGCGATCAGTGCTGCCTTTTGCCGATCAAAAGTCAGTCCTAGCATCAGAGATTAAAAACAAATAAGAAATATGAAAGAAAGCATAAAGCGAGCCGGAAACGTCGACGAAGTCGATAGAGATTCGGTGACATTCGAACATACCGTACCTTGGAAAACGATTATATCCCTGTGTGAATAATACAGTGACATTCGATGTTCAAATTTCCGCTGTTTCTTTTATTCGTGGATGCGTTTTCCATGTTCAAAGCGACGATCGACGATTCAAACGTAACAGAATGACATACCTATGTTGTTGAGTATTCCTCTAGCGGCAGATCTGGGAACTACGTATCGAAAACTTCATCTAGTTATCGACGGGACTTTTCAAATTGTGAAAGAAAACATAGAGTCTATGTTTAAAAGGATAAATTGAAAAAAAAAATAATTTCATCCTTTTTTTATTAATCTTTATACTTCGATGTACAACTTGATTGTCTCAACAATAACCGAATATTGTAACTCTGCATATATATACAACGGTTGATGCAAAATACTCTGGAAGTTGGGTAAAGGTCGTCGCAGTAATAGAAAAATATTCGATCAAAAGTATCTTCTACCCTCTTCTACCAGTCGACTTAACTCGGCTGCCGAATAGCCCAGGACTTGCTTAAGATCACACACGAATTTGTACACAAATCTTTTCCCGTGAACTTTCGAAATCATATCCCCGTCGTAATAATAACGCAACGCCCGGCTCAGTTTCTCGTAGTTCATAGAAGGTTTATTCTTTCGCGCTCCCCAGAGCTGTGCAACAGCTTCTGGTTGATTTAATTTGAATTCACCCTCTGCTCCCACCCATTGAATGGCTCCTCTGTGTTCCCGATCAGTTAACAGTTCCAACAAAAATTGCCATAGTTGTATTTGACCGCTGTTAACGGCACGACTGGAAGTTGCTATAGTGATCGGTGTAGTGTCGATGTTTTCGAGAGGTACACTGACTACTCGTGCCTGCTGGTTCACCTGTTGTCTAGGTTTCGCAGTTCTTTGATTTCGAACCTTCATGGATCTGTCCATGCTGTTTTCCGTGGGCGATTCCGGAGGATCCTTTTGCACAACAGCTGCAGAAATAGGATTATGCTTAAAACAAAGAATAAATGGAACCGACTGCTGCTACGAATCACAACGTACCGACGAATTTACATTTCCGAAGTAATTCTAAATGAGTCCAAAACACCTCTCCTGGATCGAGCGGTACTTTAGCCTGGAACTCCTCGAGCGTGAGATTACACAATTGCTGCCCTGTGATATTCCAGTCTGCTAATCTTACAGAAGCCAAATTAAACTGTCTGACGGCCCACTGAAGCCAATGTTTTACATGGGTCTGCGTCCAATCTTTTGGATCGGCTGGGATTTTTAAACGCTCCTGTAGAGCATTAACTTTTAAACTCCTAATTCAAATGATTCTACTATTATTCTTGCTAGAAATAATACCTGCTCTTTTTTGTATTGCGGATCCACCATCCATCGTATGACGTTTCGTTTATCTTCGTTAGCTGGTGCGGCAGCTACGCAACAATTTGCATTGGAGAAACTTGTAAACTGATTCGAACAGATATTAATACGTACTGGTATTTTCTGCTAATTCTATGTAATCTTCCGCAGGCTTGAGAACATCGACTATATTGATACGTCTTTGAGCTGCTTTTATCTGAACGTTTACTTGGACCAGTCCTTCTCCTTGTACACACTGATCCACCAGATTCTTATGACTCTCTAGCTAAAGGAATGTACATAAATAAAAGAATACCGCTAGTGGAAGGAAAAGTTGTAATACGTTGCTCTAATTATTTACCATTTGCGCGTCTTGCAACCAAAAGGAGTAATCGGTCAGTTCAACTCCTAGTCTTTGTTCCAATAAATTTCGTAGTGTAGATAAAGGCTCCCTTATGTCCATGTGTTGTATCAAAACACCTTCGTTGCAATCATCTCCGTTTGCGGCCCCTTCTAACGCGAAACTGGGCTCTACTTCTAAATCTGAGCTTTCCTGTTGCAACTGTGCCATTATATCATCTTCTTGCGACAATATAGCTTCGGGTTCCATCTTGATACGCTTTATCATGGCATAATCGGAGTCGTCGTCAGTGTCGAAGCTATAGAAAACAAACAAATGATTGTTGATTAATCTGTAGCAAGTAGATACGTATATTGACGCGACCGAAAGAAACGTTTCGTCGGATTTAATGTATGTTTAAGGTTGACTAACCTCTTGTCGGAACTTTTGCGTCTGCTTCCTAGATCCATGTGAATCAAACGCAATTGTCAAGTTCCGATAAGTGAAATCAAAATCAACTTTAACCTTTGCAAACATACGAACATTCACCCTAGAAAACCGGCAGCCATTTTGTAACAGGTGTACAAGCACGGTGCAACGAACGAATAGATGCACCAATGACGCAATTTCGGAACGATAAACAGATCGCTTGTTAAATGCATAGTTTATTCTAACACCTTTGAGAGAACATTCAAGATTTTTAAATCAATATTATTGATAAACAATTTTATCGATTATGCTATTGTCATTTTAATCGTTGAATCATTAATATATTGAGTCGATAAGGTAGTCTTGGCGCTACAAAAACTTGTAAAATGTCAGGTCTGTTTGTCTGTTTTATCTACAGTTACAGTTTGATATGCTAAGTCAGTTTCATTCAAACGAAGTTTTGCTTCCATTATAGAATAATTATAATTATGACATTTTTTTTGTGTCTAACTTGGGAAATAATTGAAAAATTGAGAGAACGGAAAAGAAGGGAATTTCTTATATGAAATATTTATTTAAATATATACATGTGATATACACTTGAAAAAGTATTATGCGATATAAAAGTCTTCAATAATTTCAAACATTCCCGCTAAATAAACGCAAATTCGAAACCATACTGGCAGTATTACAAAAAACTCAAATAAATGCAAGAAATGGTGGACACAAGTGCACGAACATTAACAAAAAATAAGGTATACAGATTTTTATCACTTTTCGAATATTTTATAACAGAAAATTTGTAATTTCATAGTAAATAGTTTGTCAATTAACTCCTTACTGTACTTAAACGAGTCCGACTCGTCAACACACACACATAACAAAAAAATTCTAATCGTTGCAACTATAGTACAGGAAGGAGTCAATTAGTTCTAAAAGAGTTAAATCTCTACAAAGTTAATAACAAAGAAATATACGTAACTATTTAGTAGATTGCTTTCATAACTTTTTTGTTTGTTCCATGATCCATTTCGAGACTATATAGCTACCGTGATGTTTCATATCATAGTATTTACTCACCTAAATAAACTAATACAAACTAAGATATTATTTGCTTCAATGCTGCTCTCAGCGATAAGCTTTTTGTTTCTTCTATTAAAGTCATTATGGATTGTCCAGAAAAATTTGGTATGGCCACAATGGCTCCATGAACCAATAGTTCCCGTGCTATCGATATATGATTATTTTCAATGGCATGAAAAATTGGAGTTCTTCCGGAACGATTATCCCTCAAATTTACGTTTACTTTAGTTTTTAACAATGCACTGACTCCGTCCAAATTGTTACGCAATGCACAGTAGTGTAGAGGAGCAAACCCTGCACAGAATAATTAAAAAAATTCATTTGTAATGTTGTGTTTCAATTCTGTTTTATATACTCACCATGTTCGTCTACTTTATTGAGTAACTCATGATTCGTAACATATTGCAGCATGATAAATAACAAGGGAGAGCACAATTTACAAGCTATAATTATTGCAGATTCATGTAGAGGTTCCAATGAAACAGGTGTTGCACCAGCTTCTAATAGTAATTTCACCATATCTTCAGATGCATTTGACTGAATAGCTAATTCTAAACAGGTCTAGAAAAGAAATTACGTTTTCAACATTGCATTTCTTTTATTGTACATTAAGTAAACTAAGCAAGCTTACCTTATAATCTTCTGTTAATACGTTTATACTTATTCTGCATGCTTTTAATACTAATAATAGCCTTTTTACTTCTTGTAGGTCATCATCTATTACTGCTTTGTGTATAGAAAGCATTCCTTTTTCATCCCAGTTTTGCAGGGACTGAAAGTCACGTTTTAGTTGTCTGATAACTTTTGTACATATTGCTTGGTTATCTCTCAATGAATATGATGGGTCTGTTAAAATTTGTTCTACTTCCTTTGCCGTACTATTCTCATTTTTATTAAAGAAATTGTTAATTTCATCAAGATCCTCTGCAAGCAATAAATGCATATCTAAGGTCTGATTGTTATTATTATAATTATTATGCTTGTTAACAGAATCTTGTGGCGATACGTTTGAAATAATCATAGAGGTTGTTGCAGAGCGATTCTTTTGATTTATTCTTTTTAATATGGGTGTTGTCTCTGTTACTAAAATAAAATTGTCTAATTCGAGAAGTCCAAATACATCGGTTTGTACTTGAGAATCATGAACTGTTTTCAAGTTCTCAGGTGGAATAATTGGAACATGTTTTGCTATACCTATACCACAATCTGTGAGAGCTTGTAAAGCTTTAGCACGAAGTTCTTCATCCTTCACACTAATCAGTGCTTCCTTAATTATATCCCAATGTTGTAATAGATTTTGTGGTTTTAACTCACTGCTAGTTATTTTTTTACTATTATTTGTACTACTATCATTGGCTTCGAAACATGGGTCTGTATTCGTAGGTTCATTAGACACAGGCACCGAGTTATAATCATTTCCTTGAGCATTACAACCTATTTGTTCAATAAATGTTCTTTTGTAATTTGGACTAGTTTGAACCTTGTTTCCAGCAACTGCGTCTTTTGTAGGTTGCATGTTAGATATCTCTGTTATATTTAAACATTGACCACTTTCATTTTTCCCTTCCATATGTAAAAGGGAAGAATTTGATTTGTCACTATGTATTTTATTAATAATTTGATCTATTCCATTAATGACACCCTTATCTTTTGGTATAATGAGCTTTTCACATGCTACTAATGGAAATTTGGATTGTATTAAGTATTCTTTCAATTTTGATGTATCATCTTTTGTTACAGATTTTTTCGACGCATGAACCATTGTTTCAGATTTTTTTACAGTAGTAGCTTCTATTTCAGGTTTTCTTGGTGTTTTACATTTTAATACAGATCTCTCAGATACAGCGATCTTAGATGACTGTAATTTTTCGAGAACACAATCATTAGATATTAACTTTTCTGGGACAGATTTCTTAAATATCGGTGTTTCTGGAACATATTTCGTAGATACTATTCTTTCTGAGACATAATCCTTTGATAGTAACTTTTTTGGGACACCGGTTGATTGTTCTATCGAATTGACTTTCATCTTAGGTCTTCTTAAGATGTTAATTCTTGTAAAAGCTGTTTCTGTTATATTTTCTTTAAAGTTAGATGTTTCAATATCATTCTCTTTGAAGATGGATGCTTCTATGTTATCACAATTTGCCTCTTCTTTCAGAATTACATTATTCGAGCTAGGCATATATTTTGCAATTGCATTAGTAGGACTGGTCTTTCCTTTTGTAACTCTATTGCCAAAGGTTGGAGTCTTTTCTATAACTATAATATCAGAAATAGTCTTTCCTTTTGTAACTATATTACTTGAAGTAGATCTTCTTTTAATAATGGCATTATATGAATTATCTTTCCTTTTTATAACTTTACTACCTTTAGGTAATATCAGAGCCTGATTGTTTTGTATTGTTATTTTGTTACTATGAAATTTATTGTAATGATTTTCAGTTGTATTCTTGTCTAAGTTATCATAATCTACATATTGAACATCATTGTTTAACATGTCTGAGTTTTGTGTCTGTGGTACTTTTGTCGCTCTTCCTGCATTTTCAAAGAAAAGAGTGATAGGCATATTTATGTTCCTTGTCAGATGAAAATTGTCGGAAACAGTGGTTTCATTGAGATACTCTGGAGGTAAAAATTTCAGATTGAATTCCCCAAGATCTTTGCCATCCTGCGTTCGTATCCTCATTTTCTTTAACTTGTTTACTGTATGTCCCCCATTACTCAATGAATTACTCGAAGTCTGTGGTACTGTTGATTCACATGATGGTCTTTTATTGGGCACTCTACTGGGAAATTGTTGTGTCAATGTAAATTCTCGTTTGCATTCTATTATTGGCTTGCCAATGTCTTTTTCTATTAATTTTCGTGAGTTCTTAACCGGTAACGGAGACACTGACTCCATTTAGCAACAATGTTTTCATGTAAATCAATCGTTCAATCTGCAACAAAATTTCCTAAGAATCACAAAACAGAAGAGTATCACAAAACTCACTGTGTTAAAAGTCAAAACATCAAGAACGTAACCTATTATCAGATATATATCGCTGTATGTGCTTACACATATCGAGATTTCGCCACGTCTGTATTGTCGTTAATACATCGTATGGTTAAATATTTGCACGGACTAGATTTATAACTTGTTTAAAAACAATGTAAACTAATGCAGCTCTGGAAACCCACCAGGAATTACTACAAAATGTTTTGCAAAACGGGACATCCCTATCTGGGGAAATACACTGATACTAATACATACATAGTTGCAATATGGAGACCTTTAACCATGGTAACCAACGCTAAAGTAATGAAAATATTTTTGTGGTCACATACAATAATGGGTCCCACTCCTGCACAGCTTCAGGCTGCAGCTTGATTCGTTAGCGAGGGTCAATATAGAAATTTGTTTTACTCTGATTGGTTGACGATTCACTGCTGAGACAGGATCCACTGCGGATTGGAATGTCAGTAAAACGGTGGGATGTGCGTGCCAGCTTAGGGAGCAAGAAAAACGTGCAGGAATAGGTCACATTAGTGAAAATTAATATTATATATACTCAAAATTATATACGACAAGACTCTTGCTAAATTAAATCAAAGAAAAAGTCATTAGTTTCAAACGAAATACAAGAATTGAAACATGATCATTTGGCTTTGATCGAATGCACGATATTTTCGATTGACTATTTTGATATTTTAATAGTATTATATCTTCCATCTGTACACATATGGAAATTGTATAAGTTAGTTTTACAATTTAAATGTAATACGGTTTCGTAACGAAATTGGTCTGTAAACAGAAGAACTATGATATTGGTAGCACTGATGAAAGATACGTTATTCCAAAAATGTCCATGGAAGACAATCGGTACCCCCTTAGGCCTTGTTCTATATACATTTAAATTATAATAGATTTTTAACACAGATTTATATTGTAATAGTTTCTTTTTAGTAGAAATATAAATTATATGGCTCAGGACTTGATGGTGGCGGTCTGTCGCGCTTCCAACAGGCTGTTTACCGAGTGCGATTCAAATCATAGTATTTCTGTGTAGTAAAATTTATTGTACGACGGTGGCGACGCTTGTGGCGAAATCAAAAAGCTTTTTTCGGTCTCTGTACAGCGCCAATTGAAGTAGTGGCAAAACGCTCGAACTATTAGCCAAACTCGACTGTTGGTAACTTGTCTATCAGTGTCAGCATTTTACCGCTATATAATTGGCGCTATACAGACTCTGAACGAAGCTTCGAAATTTCGCCATCAGATACGCTTTGGCTAGAAGTTCCAGCGTTTTGCCACTTATTAATTGTGTTCACGATGGTTCTGCTTCAAGGGAATTAATTTCAAGCACCGCAGTTTCGCCTCTGTCACCTGATTGTGTTCCGTGATCGGTAGAAGGAGAAAAATGTATGTACAAGATGTACAACAGTGTATAAGGTGGTAGGTGGCAGGTGGGGTATGGTGGTACTCGAATTCCATCTGTCGAGTCGAGGTGATCTTAATACAGTGAGCACACTGTCGAGTAAGAACTGGTAGGCACTCGCTCAGTAATGCAACTGTCGTTACGGGTGTTGGTCGACACGTATGAAGTGATATAACAACAGGACGACACGCTGCAGTTCTTTGGAGACTCTTGTTCTCAGTTAATGCAGTCATGAACGATCGCCGAAACAGTCGGGAAGTGGTTACGGTGTTGTTTCTCTGTCTGATTTGGTACGTGATCTCGAGCAGCAGCAATGTGGTGGGCAAAATGTTGCTTTCGGAATTTCCCTATCCGTTGACAGTGACAATGGTACAGCTAACCTCGATCACTGTCTACTCCGGCCCGTTCTTCAACATGTGGGGCGTGCGGAAGTATTCGACCGAGATTCCTTGGGGTTATTATCTGCGGTTGATCGTGCCTCTTGCATTGGGAAAATTCTTGGCGAACGTTTTCAGCCACGTCAGCATCTGGAAAGTCCCTGTTTCATATGTCCATACTGGTATGAAACGACGCTATTTCGATGGTCACGTGTACACCATTTCCCCGCGCTTATGCATTCAAAAATAAAACCCGTCGACCTTCACTTAACGCCACGAAGTGTCTAGCTTCATGTAGTTAACGATAACAGTTGTCAGATAACTCGTTCACTTACATTTTATTATATTATTATGTAGATTTTAGTTGTCGCGATCGTTGACACGTGTACCGCAACATTGATCCGCGTTTATTCTTAAATGGATTGGCTTAATCACAACATTAGTGGCAATGATAAAATCTGCTTAATCAGTTGCTGATAACGTGATAGCTCCTGTTAAAAAGTGTGGACACTTTGGAGATGCAAGCGCATTATCTTATTTTTAGTTTTATCAATCTCATATATTAACTGAAGTTTGGCTCTGTCCCAGTGAAGGCTACAATGCCCTTCTTCACGGTATTCCTGTCAAGAATAATCCTAAAAGAGAAGCAGACATGGAAGGTGTACCTTAGTTTGGTTCCAATCGTAATTGGAGTGGGTGTTGCTACTTTGACAGAGCTCAGTTTCAACATGATAGGTCTCCTGAGTGCCTTAGCATCTACAATGGCATTCTCTTTGCAAAATATTTATTCCAAGAAGGTATCTATTATTGTGCTTGTAATCTATATAACATAGATTTAGAGCTACGTTGTTGACTCTGTTCTATTTCTTTCAGGTGTTGCAGGACACAGGAATACATCATCTGAGACTTCTATTCATTTTGGGACGCTTAGCGCTTATCCTTTTTTTGCCCATATGGTTGATATACGATCTAAGACAGCTAATATACGATCCTGTTGCTCACGGATTGGCGGATCTAAGTTATTATATATTAGGCCTGTTATTCCTAGATGGTGTGCTGAATTGGTTTCAGAACATCATCGCGTTTTCTGTGATTTCTATCGTTACTCCTTTAACGTACGCGGTAGCTAGCGCGAGCAAGCGTATATTCGTGATCGCAGTGACTTTACTCGTGCTAGGCAACCCGGTAACGTCAATAAATATATTGGGTATGACGCTGGCGATCTTTGGGGTGCTATGTTATAACAAAGCGAAGTACGATCAGCGGTTGGAGAAGGTAAGCGAGACGCTTCTTCCAAAGTATTACGAAGATAATCGTAACGGCACTAGTAGTTCCTTTACGGTAAACGGATGGGTTGGCACGAAGCAACAATCGTTTTCTGTCTAGTCTGAATAAATAGATCACTTTTTCTCCGACAAGCTCGCGCGAGCTTTCTCTGCCTGGAGATGGTGTTTCGAGCATGACGACTTTTAATCGGTTATTTATTTTTCTCAACGGCACAGAGAAGCCGTGGAGTAACGCTTCTTTGTATAGAACATCGCGATACGTTAGGTGGGATGTACAAATGAAAACTCGTACGGTAACAAATGTATATGTGGATATGTACATATGTATATTTGCATTCATACACATGCAGGGTGTCTCGGCCGAATGAGATTATTTAGTGTCTAGATTTTAGACAACTGCTTTATTTATTGTTTCACAAAACATTTTCTCGTTGCAGTTATACTATATCTTTGTATAATGATAGGAATAATTTTCTTTGAAGTCGTAATATAACCAGGATCTTAAGAAAAAATTATATTTGCCAATAACGAGTAAAAGAAACACCCTATATATATACATACACACGTATTTTATGAATATTAATGATGTTGCACAAAGGTGTAATTTGCCTATTAATCTGTTTTCGTTTTGTATTTTTTAGCATTACATTGATAATGTTCTTGATTTTGATGAGAACAGACCTGCTGGCAAGGTTTTAATTTGAGATTTCTTTAATTCGAGATTGTTAATGTTCATAGCTAATTGCTGGGTCGATTAGCGTCGAAGTCTCTCAGTTACTGGATCCGATAATATTCCTATCGGCCCGATGACCGGTGAATCGGAGCGAGTCGGTTTCAGCGATTGAATTTATTTAAACACGATACCGAGAGAAAGAGAGGGAGAGAGAGAGAGAGAAAGATAGCAGCGGTATTCGTATAGCATCGTTCACGTATCACATTTTTCTTTCATAGCTAGTTAGCTGACTGCGATAAACATGAGTACGGTATGCGATAAGACATTGACTTTCTTCTGGTGATTATAATTAAGTATAATATGACTGGCTATTAATTTTCAAAACGAGAGAAAAAACAGCTATTCACAATATCCTCTAGTTTACACCATTTAACAGATATAGTCGAATAGTTTTGATGAAAGGTTGAAACGATTCAGCTGTGTCGCGTGCGTGGACTTGTGTGCAGGAGAAAATGTTCTAGCTAAAAGCAATCTATACATTTATTTTTATAAATAAAATACAGGTGTGTAAAAAAATATAACCAGATAACCATCTCCACCGTCGCGTTGATCGATTCAGGTTGAATCGTCAACGTTGCTCTCTGATCCCTTGTCCTATAGCGTTTTCATGATGTTAACAGGAGACACCGGTCTGGCGATGGTCAGATCCAACCTTGAACCGGCTGCGGCAATCAAGGGAACAGCCAGACAGCAGTCACAGTCTTCGGTACTGGCCTCGTTCACTCTTAGGATCCTGTCATACGGTCTGAGGACACCGTCGCAAGGGCCACCGGGTCGCAGACGATTTATGTAGACCCCCCTTTCATATAATCCATCAGACACCGAGAACCCAAAGTCCTCGTAAACCGGATCCTTGTGCAGAGATACATGCACTATCTGCTGCGGTCTGTCTGAACTACTACGCTCCTGCGGTCTAATACAGTACTTTTCTTATCAATGTTTTAAGTCAAACCGTCTAGCATGTATTAATTAAGGACGGTGTATTTTTATTACCCAGGGTAAGGCGGCATAGGCAAATCCAGCTGACCACTGTCCACGGATGCAGTGTCCCATAGTCTCAGAATCTCTGGACCCACTCCACTGTTCTCTCCCAGCTCTCCCCAAGAATCCACAGCACTGTCCACACTAGGAAGACTTCCCCTTGCTGGCCGTTGAAGTCCACTAGAATATTGCTGAGCTGTGTCGCTTCCTAAACTGGAGTCTCTACGAAAATACTCATCTTTCAATTCAGTACTGGATTCATCTATTGATATACTACATCTAACTGTCGATAGACAATTAGATAGGGAATAGCATGAGCTCTGATGTGGACAGATTAACAATCGTTGATCCCTGAATTGTTCTATAGACAGTTAGAAGTACTGTAATTTCTCCATGAGTGACGCAGAGTCGGAATTGAAAGCGTATTTCAAGGGGCCACAAGATATGATACTTCGAGCCTCGCAGATCGCCTTTATAGTTACCAACATCCCGTGAGAGAAAGAGAGAGAGAGAGAGAGACGGTGTACATTACTATGAATACATTGTAATCTCCGCATCGGCGGAGAACAAGAATATCGATCAATCACATAGGTGTAGCAATAGCACCGCGACACTCATAACACAGCAATATTATGACACTCGTGGAGAAATTACTGTACACCGAGCAAAGTTGTACCTATTCTCCGAAACGGGGTCCGGTTTCCTGACGGTCAACGCAATGACCGAACTACCTGGTCGGTGCAGCAATTGCGCAGCTTGTCTGAGATCGCCGGGGTCCAGTTTTTGTCCGTCTATCGCGAGTAGTCTATCGCCAGGAGCTAGACTGCCTGTTCTATAAGCTAAAGACCCCTTGCGGACCTCTGTGATGATCAGATCCTCGTTCACCGTTAAACCTACGTCCGGTTGGCCTCCGACAGGCCTCGCTACTCGCACAGTGAACACCCCTGAGCTTGGCACCACCGGTCCACCGACCTTGTACTCGATCATTAATTCGATCTACCAAAAGTAGCTATTCTAATCTTTGCAACGAATTAGGGAGAGTTCATCTAACGCTGTTAGCGGCGTTAGACAAGCAAAAGAAATTGCTACTTACAACTTGCGAGGTCTCCAGTATAGCGTTGACATCGGCAGGTTGCAGGTCCCTCAGGAACCTCCGATTCACCGCCAAGACCTTGTCGCCCGGTAGCAGGACCCCGCTGCGTTCTGCTGGCCCTCCAGCCTCTAAAAGGCTGACGACGTAGCCGATACGATCATCGGCAGGCTTTAAGGCCAGGCCAAATCCCTTATGATCAGGTCTCAGAACGATGGTGAGACTCTCTTTCGTCTGGAGGGTCTGATTAGATGATTGCTGAGCCTGCGGTTGCGCCCTCCTCTTGATCGTTCTCTGAGAGGCGCTGGGTGGCCTAGGCAGGATCTGCAGTCTGGCGATACGAGAGTTGTCGAAATTATTCCTGAGCAGCTTCGCTGCCATGACAGCGTCTTGAATCGGCGTCTCGTCGACTGCCAAAAGTTTGTCGCCCGGTTGCAGAGCGCCGCACCGATCAGCCGTGCTAGCCGGTCGTAGACTCTCTATGTAAACTCCGTTCGCCGTCTCTCTGACTGTCAACCCGAGCTCTCCTGTAAACGTATCCATAGCATTAGCAACGTTTACGCGGAGGTTGAACCAGGAGCTCTAACAAGCTCAAGAGCCGGGGTAATTAGGAGTCAGAAATAGAACCCGGACCCTTTGCATTCGGTTCGTGGAAGTGTACCGATGTAAACAGTCAAAGTCCTAGCCGCAATCTTTATTTAGTTACCCCAACAGTCTATAATTACCTGGTGGGTATACTGTTTGCACTTTATCGAGTGCCGCGGTAGTTTATTTAGATTGTGAATCGACTGAAAAAGCCCAACTGGGAGAGCGGCGGCTCTTCAAAGAGCTAGAAATCAGCGCACACTCTTAATTCCCTTGTACACTCCTGGCAGAAAGTATTCGATCATGACTGTAATTTTGCACAAAGAGAAACATTTAAGAGACATCTTGTACCGGAACATGTTAGTCCCTCTGATCTATTTAATGTTTATGATACCAAGATTGTTGAAAACATTGATCGAATACTATCTAGCGTGGGTGGTAATAGTAAGAAGAAGGTGTACCAGAAGAACCGCGTTCAAGCTGTACCAGGAGAGGTCCGGATGTAGCTGCCCTAGCTTCTTCCATATTTGCGACGTCGTACTCGATCGTCAAAGATGCTACTGGCGCGTCCGAACTTCTTCTGAGCGCTCTCTGAGCCTCCGCCAGGGTCAGACCTCTCAGTTCTGTGTCATCGACAGCCAACAGCCTATCCCCTGGTCTGACTCTTCCTTCTTTCGCCGCAGGTCCGTCGGACTTCACCCCGGTGACCACCAACGCCCTCGAGACTCCGCCCCTGAGAGTGACACCGAGGCTACCGCCTTCCCGTTCGAGCCTGACTTGAGCGACCTTGGAGGACACACCGGATGGCACCGAAACAGGGATGTCAGGATCGTCCAGGAGCAGGAAACTGGCTGGATGGTAGACCTGAGAAGTAAGGTCCTCTGCCCTGGCCGAGTCGGAACTGGCTGATGTGGCCACGCTTCCAGGCCTGGCTCGGCTCTTGTGCGATCGCATGGTCGTCAGTCTCAACGAGCTGAACATCCTCGACTCTCTACACTCCTAGACACAAGGACGTCTGCTATCAGCTGGTTCTCAGCGATACGCTAGAAGTATTCGCACGGGGAATAGTAGTTTTATCCTAGTCTATCTTTTGCATCGATCTCTTGATTTAGTAAATAATATGAAGAACGTGTAAAAAAAGATCTAAAATGAACGTGCGTCCACTGAATTTGGAGTCTATATTTGAGAAGCTAATGATAGTTGCCGCTTCTTATTTTCTTGAGCAAAAGAGTACCTTGTCTATAATTTCCAGGGCTGGTGCCGGGAACGATTCGCATCGCTAGGGCAGTAGCACCGACGTAGATCCTCGAGGTAGATCTAAATCCGCAGAATTTGCATCGTTGAGAGAGAAAGAGAGAGAGAGAGAGAGAGGGAGGGAGGGAACTCACCGATCCTCACAGTTACAGTTCGGCGAATGGCTCATCGGTATTTATTTTCGGCAGAACATAAGTTGTTGAGCGAACACTATTTATTTCAGGAGGTTGCCGATCCGGCCAAGTGTTTCAATTAATTATTATCGAGTTCACAGAGCACCGACTAAGAAACTGTCCTTTTCCATAGGTATCGTCGTTGCAGAGACAGAGCTAAGAGACACAAGGGGACAAAGCGGAACCGGAGGACCGTGACAATCGACCGGTGTCGGTGTCGTTTTGCTCGCGAGGTAAACAGCGTTTGTTCGTCGTGCGATCCGAAGAAGCAGCAGCTTCTTGCCAGACGAAACTCGTTGGAACTGAGGCCGAGAACTGTGACGAGCGTGGCAATCCCTCTCGAAAATAACTCACCAACGTAGGGCCGCATCTTCGCGCGGACGCGGATATCTATTTATATCGGCGACACCCTCGCAGACGGCCTGGAAAGATGCGGCCCTGCTAGGCGCCCCGCAGTCGCTGCACCGCTTCAAATAAGTCTGCGATTTTCTTTAAAACGTCTACGTCGTCTTGCTAAACGTTCCGACAACGTACGAAGACCGCTCGACGCTAGAATTGCCCAAATCAATGATCTCGATACGTTCACAAAAAAGCTGAGGCTTTATATTTTCTGTAAAGACATCTTCATAGTTGCAATAGAATTTGAAACGATGTTGACATCTCTGGTAGTTCTAACATTAGTTTAACATTAGATGCACTTTGTGTTATTGAATATGACTAAAAATGCAACTAAGGAAGTATCAGATGGTGATGGCAATATAATACGACGTGCAGGGCAAGACGATACGGCGGATTCAGGGTCCATTGACCGATCCTCTTAGCGCGTCAGTTTTTGCGACGTTCTCCTACTCTTTAAATCTCTCTTCGCATCAATTCTGTGTTGTTTAGCAGCTGAACTCATCGCGTTCTCCCTCCCTCCCTCTCTCTCTCTCTCTCTCTCTCTCTCTCTCTCTCTTTCTTTCTCTTTCTCTCTTTTTTGCTCTACTCCGTTGGTTTCACCGACTGATCCCATCACAGGTTCGCAGAAGCCTACCTTTTATCTCTGTTCATACTTTGACCTTTCGCTTAGTTGCTCTCCTGGCTCTGACATCAAAGCACAGCCTTTGAGCAGCTGAAAGAAAGACCCGAGATAGGTAAACGATCTCCGTTTCGTAGATCTCGAACGCTTATCTGGCAATTAATCCAGTGCCGGGATCCAACCGTGTCGAAACGGACCAATTGGATCAATTACCCGTTTAATTGTCTCAGCTGCCACTCTGGCAGCTAACCGTATCTCTGTCTTCTTGTCCTTAGCTATTTTAACCCTACGCGCTCGGATGGACTTACAAAATCTGTTCTGTAGTCGAAATAGCTTCGAACGCTATTATACCGCCCTAAAAGATTAAACATGTTTGTATCGATCTGCTTGTTGTTCAGGTGGCAGCGAGATCGTCCATGGACCTTCGTTATCAGCCGCAATCGTCGATGAGCTTTGGTCCGCCCGCTGGCAGACACGGTGGTTCGCCAATTCCTCGGCGTGCTAAAGTTAGCGTGCAGTCAGCGCGGAGCCAAGTGTGCGCGGCCAACGAAGAAGAAAACTGCGCACGAGGAGGGAGCAAAAGAGGAAGGTTGGGAAACGGAAAAAGAGCAGAAAACGTGGGAGTCGAATGGAAAGTTTAGGGTCCACGAGGAAACAGTGAGCAAAACGTGGTCCCGCGACNAGAGAGAGAGAGAGAGAGGGAGGGAGGGAACTCACCGATCCTCACAGTTACAGTTCGGCGAATGGCTCATCGGTATTTATTTTCGGCAGAACATAAGTTGTTGAGCGAACACTATTTATTTCAGGAGGTTGCCGATCCGGCCAAGTGTTTCAATTAATTATTATCGAGTTCACAGAGCACCGACTAAGAAACTGTCCTTTTCCATAGGTATCGTCGTTGCAGAGACAGAGCTAAGAGACACAAGGGGACAAAGCGGAACCGGAGGACCGTGACAATCGACCGGTGTCGGTGTCGTTTTGCTCGCGAGGTAAACAGCGTTTGTTCGTCGTGCGATCCGAAGAAGCAGCAGCTTCTTGCCAGACGAAACTCGTTGGAACTGAGGCCGAGAACTGTGACGAGCGTGGCAATCCCTCTCGAAAATAACTCACCAACGTAGGGCCGCATCTTCGCGCGGACGCGGATATCTATTTATATCGGCGACACCCTCGCAGACGGCCTGGAAAGATGCGGCCCTGCTAGGCGCCCCGCAGTCGCTGCACCGCTTCAAATAAGTCTGCGATTTTCTTTAAAACGTCTACGTCGTCTTGCTAAACGTTCCGACAACGTACGAAGACCGCTCGACGCTAGAATTGCCCAAATCAATGATCTCGATACGTTCACAAAAAAGCTGAGGCTTTATATTTTCTGTAAAGACATCTTCATAGTTGCAATAGAATTTGAAACGATGTTGACATCTCTGGTAGTTCTAACATTAGTTTAACATTAGATGCACTTTGTGTTATTGAATATGACTAAAAATGCAACTAAGGAAGTATCAGATGGTGATGGCAATATAATACGACGTGCAGGGCAAGACGATACGGCGGATTCAGGGTCCATTGACCGATCCTCTTAGCGCGTCAGTTTTTGCGACGTTCTCCTACTCTTTAAATCTCTCTTCGCATCAATTCTGTGTTGTTTAGCAGCTGAACTCATCGCGTTCTCCCTCCCTCCCTCTCTCTCTCTCTCTCTCTCTCTCTCTCTCTCTCTTTCTTTCTCTTTCTCTCTTTTTTGCTCTACTCCGTTGGTTTCACCGACTGATCCCATCACAGGTTCGCAGAAGCCTACCTTTTATCTCTGTTCATACTTTGACCTTTCGCTTAGTTGCTCTCCTGGCTCTGACATCAAAGCACAGCCTTTGAGCAGCTGAAAGAAAGACCCGAGATAGGTAAACGATCTCCGTTTCGTAGATCTCGAACGCTTATCTGGCAATTAATCCAGTGCCGGGATCCAACCGTGTCGAAACGGACCAATTGGATCAATTACCCGTTTAATTGTCTCAGCTGCCACTCTGGCAGCTAACCGTATCTCTGTCTTCTTGTCCTTAGCTATTTTAACCCTACGCGCTCGGATGGACTTACAAAATCTGTTCTGTAGTCGAAATAGCTTCGAACGCTATTATACCGCCCTAAAAGATTAAACATGTTTGTATCGATCTGCTTGTTGTTCAGGTGGCAGCGAGATCGTCCATGGACCTTCGTTATCAGCCGCAATCGTCGATGAGCTTTGGTCCGCCCGCTGGCAGACACGGTGGTTCGCCAATTCCTCGGCGTGCTAAAGTTAGCGTGCAGTCAGCGCGGAGCCAAGTGTGCGCGGCCAACGAAGAAGAAAACTGCGCACGAGGAGGGAGCAAAAGAGGAAGGTTGGGAAACGGAAAAAGAGCAGAAAACGTGGGAGTCGAATGGAAAGTTTAGGGTCCACGAGGAAACAGTGAGCAAAACGTGGTCCCGCGACACGAGCCACCGGAAACGCAGGGGGAACAAGAAGTCTGCGAGGATGGAAGACGCCCGAGACGCTGTCCATGAGCGACGGAAATAATAAGTTCGTGTATTAATAACTTGACCGGGGCGGGTAATTGCTTTGAAATTTTCACGCCGCGACTCGCGACCGTCTTCCGGTCCCAGGAGCGCCTCCGCTTTCAATGATTCTGAACTCGTCCAAGATTGTCCATATGTTTTATTTAAAACAGACGATTGTCGGCCGGGCAAGTTAGCCGGGCAAGGGTTTAAAAAAGACGGAACACTAGGGGGAGTCGAAGCGTTCTTAAACAGAGATTCGCGTAGAAAAGAAGGTACTGCTTTGGAGCCCCGAAGCTCTCGAACACCTCTGGACTCCCCTTTGCATAGTCTAACCGCTCTCTATCGTCTCTACGTTATACAAAACCTAGCAATAGATCTCTGTTGCCTGACTCCTCGACAAGTACAAGCTCTAGGAACGTCGCTTCGGTGTTTAATCGTCACAATTATCTAACGTGAACCACACTGGCGAAGGAAGTCGACTCGCCCCTCGTTCTCTAACCCTCTGTAATCCTTCCTGGAAAGAGGATCGAACTCTCCTAATTCCAGATGGCGAACGAAGGAGATCACCGGTTGCTTATGAACACCACAACGTCGGACCCCGTCGACGCGTGGAAGAACTGTACAGTTTTCTCGTTTGAATCCCCCAAAAGCACACGCCTTCAGTCTGTCGCGTTCGGGTTCGTGTAGGAGAATCCACGGAACACACCCTGGTCCATCGAGGTGAGAATTTGTTCAGGTACAGGAGTCAGCCGTGGCCTTTCTGCCGTGAACGCTGTATCGAAGTACTTTGTGTCCAGCGTGTGTTCTAGGGCTGGCTTGAACGGTGGCTCCAGCTGCCTCCTTTCCAAACGGTCCCACGGCAACGACTGAAACATTGTTTCATTCTATATAAATCATTGTACCACTTCGGGCTATGTATTCGGGTAGGGCTATTGGTAAGCTTATCGATGGTTACTTTCGAATCGCTCGACTAACAGAGACTTTTCATTTCAGACAGTACCTGGAAAAAGGCATGATAGGCGATGTCGTGGCCAGGTAGTCTTTTGCCGGCGTCCTTCTCCAGAAGACAGAGCAGCATGTCCGTGGAGTCTTGGCTGAGGTAGCGGGGTATGAACGGCCGCTCGTTGCATATACTCCAAAATAGCTCGTCCTCGTCGCAGCCGGAGAACGGTGACTGTCCCGTCAGCATCTCGTAGAGCAGCACGCCGTACGACCACCAGTCTACCGCCTGATTGTATTTCAGTCCCTTTATGATCTGCAATGCGGAAACGTGCGCCGGATAACTCGAGTAGACTGACGAATTGTTGTTATTTGAAACACTGTTGACTCAATCCTTGCACAAGACCCCTGGCCAACTGGCCGGGTAAATTTAGAATCTAGGTGTCTTGACCTCTGCACAGACAGTTAGAAAGGATATTCTGTATGCGCTTCGTTAATTCTTTATAATCGTCCGGGGGCTTTTGTGCAGTGATTTAGGAGGTACGAGAAACGATCTGGTACCTCTGGAGCCATGTAGTCCGGCGTTCCGCAGAAGGTGTCTGCCGTCCTATCCAGGAAGATTTGCAACTTGCACATGCCGAAGTCTGCGATCCGGATGTGACCTTCGAAGTCGAGGAGAACGTTATCCAGCTTCAGGTCTCGGTAAACGATTCCCTTCTTGTGGAGGAAGTTCAAGCCGGACCAGATCTCCGCAGCGTAGAACCGGGCCCTGACCTCGGAGAATCGACCCGATTTCTGGATATGGAACATCAAGTCGCCGCCGTTTAGGTACTCCATAACGAAGAACAAGTGCGACTCCGTCTGGAAGGTGCAGAACAGATGGCAGAGGTACGGGTGCCTGGTCGCCAGAGTCAAAACCTTCCTCTCGATCAGGGTGCACTCCACGTCGTCGTCTTCGAGCACCACGTCCTTCTTCAGACATTTCACCGCGTAGACGCACTCTGTACCCTTCAATTCTGCTAGCAGCACTTTGCCGAAGCTGCCCTTTCCCAGGACCTAGAATCAAATTTATAGGATATCAATGTTAAAATAGCTAACACGGGACGCAATCGATGTAGGTAATTTTTCAATCGTCGTTACAGATTTCAATGTGTTTACAGTTTTTCCTGATCTTTCAGGTGGGCGGCTATCGTTAATGGGAAAAAGGAGGGAGAATTGAGGTCTGCGAAGGGCCGAGGAACCGGCACACGGTGGAAAGTTCATGCGGCTAAAGCGAGAGAGTGCCGCACGTGAGATAGTGCCCCCGCCTGTTAAAAATAATGCGTTGCGTGGTGCTAATTCGGGTAATCTATTTGTGCGATAGTCCGCCGCGAAATCGTGTCTGTTTTAAACATTCTTGCGAATGAATTCGTTCGTTGGCGGATACTTAAAGGGCCGTGAAACGTCTTCGCGCTGCAAATTGGAGAACAATTGGAAGAATATTTCAACGAGAACATACGATACCGTTCGACAAATAGGATGAAATGATTCCTCCGATGAAAGGACGATATTTCGAGCAGAATTTTCACCGTCGCGAATCTTTCTGATCGCGAATCGATTTTGCGACAGCCAGTGAGTCAACCGGTTCACGTGATTCTCGCGTACACATGATCCGTATTAGCTTTCATCGTGGCACGAGGGGCCGAGCCAAACGCGTTTCACCGAGCCGCTCGTAAATTTCCGGAAACTATATTTGCAGGTAGTTAGACGCGTGTACCGCGTGACTCTCGGACGACTTTCTTCCTCCGGTTTCTCGGTAACCGGCGACTATTTAAACCCCGGTGGAACGACTAACAACGAGATCGTCCAACGGACTCTCTGTCTCTCCCGCGCTACGATCGAGACTCACTTTGCGGAAATTGAAGTCTGTGACGGCGTACTTCTTGAATCTTGGCAGATTGGTCGCTGGCGGCGTGATGCGCCCGCTGGGGAAGTGGTCCGAGGAGTCAGAGTTCCTCTGTGTGTCCGACGATTGCGAGGGTGCTGCGAATTTATCAGCAGAACAATGTTAATTAATATACCCTTGCTACGAACATTTCCAGGGGAGACACGCTCTATTAGTAGACAGTGAGGTCTCGTCGGGATAACATGCGTGGCAGTAGACTGTAGTAGACTTCTATAGAAATGTCCGTTTACATTGTAAAATTAACGCGTCCGCGCGCAGGCGGCAGCGTTGAAATCGCGGGGTAGATAGTATGTATTTCAACGCATTGTAAAGTTAACGCGTCTGTCACTTAACGTTCCGTTGTAACTTCTGTGACGGCGAACGGGTAAATTAGAAGGCGACAACGTTGGGTTAACCGGTTGCAAACTCAATTAACGAAGCTTGTTAACTGTGGTTTAACGCGCGTGATCCATGGAGCAGCGAGCGCGTGATATTTGGCTGGCTGACATTTTTCGAAAATAGCGGTGACCGTGGCGGTGATACTCGGGTTGACGCGTGTGATCGATTAGGGGACAAGAACAGGGCTCGAGCGGTGGCACGGCGTCGTTTACCGAATTTAACGGTTATGTAATTGAATTTCCGCGGCGGTAATCGCGATCGCGGCGCGATAACGGCCGCGAAAATTATTTATTGGCTGGCGAACGGATTTATGACATCCACGTGGAAGAGGAAGATCGGCGTAGTCGTGGATGAATGCACCCGCGTCGCCAGCCAAGTGTCTGATAATGTAGCCAACGTACATGAAACTGACTGGCTGCATTTCCCAGAAATTACTTTTAGACAATCGACGCAATGCACCGGCAGAGCTATTATTTCTTTTTCTTTTCAAAACAAGCAGAATCTCTGTTTATTAAAGTCTGTGAATCGACCGTTTGACAAAGTAATGGAAGCACCGTTCGCAAGTAGTTACGTTTGTCTCTATTTAGAATATAGCTCTATCGGATACGATCACAGCGAATAATATATCAAAAATATATTAATAAGATTCTTTGATCTATTTTAATAGATCAAAGAGTTGTGTTGATATTTCCAATATTTTGGAATAGGTATTTCGAAGGCGGAGATCCGAGAAGCGGTCTTTGAAATTCCACGAAGACAGTTCTGCGTCATTCGGACAGAGCTTTCAACTAGACGGCCGCTTTTAAATAGAATTTCCGAACTTGAACCAACTCGGTGCATCGGTGCATTGCTCACTCACCCCTCTTCACCGCCTGCAAAGCCTCCGCCACGAGCTTTTGGTTTAACCCGCAAAGGTTCCCGGTGAGCTTTTCGCATTTCTTGTGGCACGCCATGTCGCAATCTGTGTCAACGTATCGTTAATAGACCCGATTGTCATATCTGGTTCGTTCATTTTTCATTCGGTTACCTTTCACGAGTCTCGAATAACACGCGCCACGGATATCTGTCGTCTCACGATGCTTCTTGGGCACTGACGCCGAAACGCGGAATCATTTGGAGAGACTACAGTTTCGTTTCTAGCGATACAATGTACATACTGTTAACCGAAATGGAATCCTCTGACGTAGTCCGTGCAAATCCGCGCTATTTTCCTGCTTCCAAATCTATGCGACGTTTATCCACAACTATCGCAGAGAATAAGAATGTAATATCGAGAACAACGAAAGAGTTTTAGCATTAGAAATGTCAAGCTACGAAACCGATAATTAACGTTTACCTGTAGCGATTACGAAAACGAATGCATGTACGGACCAGATTCGCATAGAAGCACTATCACGATAGTGTATTCCGACGGCTTCGATAGTTTTCTAGTAGTGCAACCGGATGACTTTTCTTCTCCCGTGCAAAACACTTTGCGGATCCACTAAAAGCGGTGTCTAATTATTGTGCACGATCCGCTAAATTTAACGCGAAAGTCTCGTTCGCACCATCTCCCGGCTGCACCACGAAGCCTTGAATATTGTTATGCAAACTGCGCCGCGTTTTATAAATAGTGTCGCGTTGTTCAACCATGCGGACCAGTCCCGGATCAACACCGAACGGTTCACCATTCCTGGTACAGCAATTGTACTTGGACCGCGGCTCGGAGACCACCGAGCTCGGTCCCAAGGACACCTGTCTTAGGGTATCGAAGCCAAGAGGCGACCAGGAAGGATTCGTTGAATTCCCGAACGCGCGCGACTGCACTTCCGGTTGTAAATAAATTGGCGTACGGAGTCGTTGACACTGAGGCAACGACCTTATGTAATATCGATTCGCCGGACGAATACTAGGTGCTCCGAAAGCAGCTTAAGCGGGACAGCTGGGTTCGCCAATTTCAGGAAACCGGTTCCTTTTAAAGTTAATTGATAACCGAACACGTAGAGATTATGTCTGTAAAGTTTCGGACAGAAATTGTAAATAGTTGAATAGTCACAGCCGAGAAGCCGTAATTCGGAACTTCCAGATTTGCGCCTATGCTGACAAATTTCTGTTCTGTATTTGTCGATGAAAAAATTTCTGCATGTTCCACGAACAGGGGACCATTTGTCTTGGAAATTTCAAGAAGAACCGCTTCGTAATTCGTTAGGGAAAATATCACGAAGGTAGCTCTATTTTCAGCGTACTGCGAACCGAATGAAATATTGTAATTTTTATATCTTCGTCCGTGGGCTTTATCAATTCCTCTCCAGATTGCGATCGCGAGTACGAAACCGACTGTCTTTCCAAAGTATTGGGAACTTCTGTACGGTGCAATTAACCGGACGCGTCTTTGGCACCTGTCCAACGCACATTTTTGTTCTCCGTTTAAAAAGTTTGCATCGAATCATGAACGATGGCGCAATTCTGTTTTCAAAGAAATGGCAGGAAGCTCGCATACAGCAAAACGTTAGTATAAATACTATTTGGTATTGTTTAATCGATCACAAGTGCAAATCGGTAACAGTTATTTTTTTCCAGCAGATTCTGTTTCCTGCAGGAACGCGACAGGACGAAGAACCGAAAGAAGCATGCGCGTTAAAAAGACAAGAGAAAATATTTTCAACAGACAGAACACACAAGCAACAAAGTGTAGACGCGGACACGAAGTTTCCTGGGCCATGGCTACATTGGAAAACCGAGCAGACAAATTTGAAAAAAAGTTGCAATGCAAAAACCAGCGGGTTAAGGAGATGATTGCAGAGTTCGTCGGGGACACGATGAAAGGGAATCGGTAGAAAAATAACCGAAAAAGAGCAAGTACTAGATATCCTCGGCGATCCGTCGAACCCGGAGTCGTTGCTCCTCGTGGAGTTCATCCTCTTGTCAGGGTCGTCGTCGAGCTCCGTGCAGGTAGATCTGCTGCCATCGGTGCTGCCTGTGGTGGCAGTGCTGGTGGTGCTTCCCGTGCTGTCGCTGCTCACCGAAGGAGTCCTCGAATGATGCTTCCGTCTCTTGATCTTCGCTCGGCGGACCTTGGATAGATCCCTAGGCGTGGCGGTCAGCAGAGCCGATGGCGTGGTGTAGAACATCCTGATGAGATCGAGAGGCTTGGGGCTGGGGTTCGCCAGCTTTGTATTCGGCTTCGAGGAGGACTTGGACTCTGCGGTCGGCTTCAGGCTCTCCTGGGCTTTCGCGGAGCTTTTCTTCGACTCCTTCGCCTCTTTCTTCGACTCTTTCTTCGACTCTTTCTTGGAGTCCTTGGCGGAGCTCTTCTTGGTCGTCGAGGCTTTTTTCTTTCTGACCAGTTTCTTCTTTTTAGACGATTCCGGAGTACCTTGCGGAGTGTCGTCCGGAGTGGCTGCCACGCTGCCGACCTTAGAGGCCACCGGGGTCACATCCTGGTCCGCTTGATCAACGTTGGAGAGGTCCCTGTGGTTGTCCCATTTGGAGATCTTCGGCGGACCAGAGCCGGACCACTCGTTCGTCGGCGTTCTAGCCCCATCGTCTTCTTCGAGATTTAGCTGCTGATCAGCGTTCGTCGGCGTGACCACTTCCACGATATTTATCATCGGCACCGTGACCTCGAACACAGGGGTGGACACTTGAGATCCTGGTATAGCGGTGTCCGGAGTGCTGGCGATCGATCTAGCCGAGATCGTCGAGGCGGTCGAGTCCTCTCTCTTCAGAGGCGTCCTCTTGACCGTCGAATAGGCGTCCGCCGACCGGTCGATCTGTATCGACAGGTTCTTCCTCTTCTTCGCCTCCTTCGGACCCGGGCACGACGACGGCTCTACCTCGTCGGGTTCCTGGTCGATCACAGGAACGTTACTGAGCGGCGGTGTACCAACACCGGCGACGCTTATTTTAGTATCGCTCTCTTTTTTCTTGTCCAGTTGTTCTTCTTCTTCTGCGAGGTCCTCGACCTGCTCCGAGCCGAGGAAATTCAATCCTTTGGCCAGCTTGCCTATTCTGGGGCTGTCCGGACCCTTGATCTCGCTCCAGAAGTCTATCGACTCCGTCGACGTGCTCTTCGATAACGCCCCACCGGTCTCCCCGTTCAGACACTCGTACACCTTCACCTTGTCCACCGGCATCTTGTTCGACGGAGTCTCTTCCGACACTTTCTTCGAATCTCCGGTCACCTCGTTGCTTTTCGCCTTTTTCCTCCAGGCAGCTGGCTCGACCTTGGGCGCAACGTCCTTGGACGCCTTCGGCTCCGGTCTCTTGGCAACCTTGAACGGCGGCTTAGCTTCCTTGTTGTCGTTCACCTTGTTACTCGCAGCATCTTCGAGCTGTCTCACGGCCGAAGTCTTCTTTTCCTCTGTCTTCTTCTCCTCTGTCTTCTTGTCGGTCGCCTCGACCAAGGTCGTCTTCGTTACGGTATCGATTGGCAAGATTGCGTCATCGGTTGCACGAGTTGCCGATCGATTCTCCGGTTTTCTCGGATCCTCCGGAACTTTGGGTTCTCCTGGATGGCCGGTGCACGGGTGGGCGTCGCTCAAGGTCACCGGTTTGCCAGCCTTATTTCCCGGCAACGGATCCCCGTCAACGACGTTCTCGTCACGCTTGGTTTTCGTTGCCTTTGCCAGCCGCTGCTCCGCTCCTCGTAACGCTGGCTTTGGCGCTTCTACGGCATTATTTTCATCCGTAGTAATTTTAGACGGTTTTGGCAGCCCGACCGCGGTCGATGGGAGCGCTACGCTGGCGCTGTTTTCACTGGCGAGCGGGTCAACAGCTAGCGTCACGCTCGACGCGACCCGAGTCTTCGGTCCGGACTGGTCGCGGGCCGCGGACAACTGTTTTCTGGGTCTCGGCGGCTCTGGCCTCTTTTCTTCCCTCTGCTCAACCTCCGAGACCTCTTTCTTCTCTTTGTCCTGTTTGTCCTCTTTGTCCACTTTGTCCTTTTTGTCCTCTTTCCTCGGAAAGCCTGGAACGCTGTCGTCCGCATCGGTATTCGTCGGCTTCGGCTTCGCCTCCTCCTTCTTCGATAACGGGACACTCTCCGCGGCAACGTTGGGCTTCTCCGTCTCCTCCTTCTTTCTCCAGGTAACTCCGTTGGCGAACGCCTTCTTCGGCGAGTCAACCTTCAAGGTCTTGCTCTGTTTCAGCGCTTCCCCGACACTTTTCTCCTCTTCGGCATCGCTCTTGGAAACTGGCAGCTTCTCCTCCAACTTCTCCTTCTTCCTCCAGGGAACTCCGTCGGCGAACATCTTTTTCGGCGAGTCAGGCTTCGAGGCTTTGTTCTCCTCCAACGGCACCGCAGGACTTCTCTCTTCTTCGGCAACGTTCTTGGAAACTGGACTCGAAAGTTTCTCCTCCAAATTTTTCGATTTTTCCTTCTTCCTCCAGAGAACATCGTTGCCGAACGTTTCCTTCGGCGATTCAGACCCTCCCTCCTCTTCGGCAACGCTCTTGAAAGCTGGACTCGGCAGTTTCTCTTCAAGATTTCCCGGCTTTTCCGTCTTCCTCCAGGTAACTCCATTTGAAAATGTCTTCTGGTCCTTCGGCGAGTCAATCTTCAAGGTCTTACTCTCTTTCAGTGCCTCCTTGGGACTCGTCTCTACGCCGACGATCTGGGAAACCGGCAGTTTCTCTTCCACGTTCTCTGGTTTTTCCTTCTTTTCCAAGGTAACTCCGTTCGCAACCGCCTCCCGATCGTTTCCCGGCGCTGCTTCTTCCGGAATATCTTTAAAAACTGGATCCTGGTTCGAGGTATCTACCTCATCAGGTTTCCCCTTTCTCTCCGACGCACCGATGCCGTTCGCGACGGTTTTCAGGTTCTTCATCGGGTCACTCTTCGAGATTTCCGGCGGCGTCTTCACCGTGCAGTGTACGCTGTTCCTCGATGTGTCCTTGACGTAGGACTTCTTAACTGGTAGCAGCACCACCTCTACCTCGGACTCTTCGACTTCTTCCACGCTGTCCGGGTCTGTCTTGCGCAGGCCCAGTTTTCTTCTAGGTACTGGGATCTTGACGCTTTCGCGGAACTGTTCGTGACTAACGCTGGCTTCAGGGTCAGCCTTGACCCAGACAGTGGAGAAGTCGCCGACGCTGTTGCTGGCTTCTATCTTGAAGGCTTGCGGCCTCGAGAGCTTCTTCTCCGCGTTCTCGCTGCCCTGAAGATCCACGGACGCCTCGCTGGAGGTACTAGACCCGCGTTCCCTCTCGTTTTCATCGTCCGGTGGTTTCTCCGCGGCCCTCTTCTTTTTCTTGACCTTCTTCAGGCTCTTCCTCATCTTCTGCGCCGTCGAGTCCTCCTCGCCTTGCGAAGCCGAAGCCGACGCAGCGTCTCTGTCCAAGGCCCTGAAGAACCCTGGACCAGGCTTGTGACCCGCGACGGTGCCCTTCTTGATCAAGGTCCCTCTGCGAACCTCGTTCTCTATCTCCGCCTGCTCCTCGGCCACCAGAGTGTCCAGTACCTTCGCCTGCACCTGCGCGTAAGCGATCTCCTTCTCCAGTTGTTCCGGGTCCAATTGAATATCCGCGGAGGAGCGTCTCCGGGTAAAACGCCTGGTGATCTTGCCCGCCTGCTGCTGAAGGCCGGCCTGCTCTTCGCTTCCATCCTCTTCCGTATCCAGGCTGACCTGATGGAACAGCTGCAGCCGCCTCTCCGCCTCGTCCAGCTTCTTGTCCTTGATCAGAAACTTCTCCACCAGCAGCTCGCCTACCGTCTTCTCGTGTCGTTCGTTGTGCTCCCTTAACGCCGGGTTGTCCTTCAGGGCTTGCGATCGGATCTTGATGGTAGGTCTGTCGCGACGCAGACGATTCCTGTGATGACCTCCATCCCCTGAGAGCACCCTGGGCGTTGATACGTCGATGTCCGCGGTGTCGATCACGCGTCTAGGTCGGCTGGGGACTCCCACAGGCGAGTATCGCCTTAAGGTGGTCAACGGTGACTCGGAGATCGTCGACAGGTGCGGAGAGAACCTCGACAACGGCGTATGGAAGGATCTAGCGCGATCGAGATGATCAGTTTCGATCCCTAACCGCGTGGAATCTCCTCTCTCTCTCTCTCTCTCTCTCTCTCTTTCTGCTTTTTTCAGGAACTTGGGACGTAGAGGAAATCTAAATTTTTCTTGAGATCAGGGATACAGCACGTTCTCCAACAGTATCTACGGAGCTTGAAAGTTTGCTAGAGGAGTTTAGAGGATAGAGGTCAACGAAAGGTACAGCTTGTTCTCTAACAATTCCTGCAACTTGCAGCACGCAACGACTTAAACCGTGTTCTTTTCGATAATAGGAATCCTGGGAGCTTACTAGAGGAGCTTAAAGATCTATGACGCAGCTCGCAGAAGGAGCTGCAAGTCACTCACGAGGTTGGGCAACGAGGGACCGACGCAACAGCTTGATAAGCTCTCTGTCCTGTCGTCGCATCGTTTCAATGCCAGAGCTCTGTTTTCGCGGTGCATTACGTTGCAGAATCGAGAGAACACTTGTTAACTGTGCTCGATCATGCCTCTAGATCTCTGGCCCGGCCATGGCCGCGGATGATTGACAGGCCAATCGATTCATGAATCGGTCGTATGTCTACGATGACACACCGGAGGCTAATGGGCACGCGTGGCGGATGATGACACAGAGGAACCATTGCGGAGATGTTTCTACCCTTTGCATATTATCACATACGATGACTCGACTACCTACGAGCTATTCCACTCTACTTCTTCTTTCAATTTCTGTTTATCTATTAATTACTGAAAATATTCAAAGGTACTAATTCGAGCTTCGTTTTAGATAGGAGATTCGACTGGTTGCTCGCGGAATAAATACTGGATCATCTGGTTCGACGCATTGCAAGAAACTAGATCGATCGAATGTAGGAACAATCGCAGGCTGTTGCATAGCAGACAAATGATATTCCGATTGCATAACGCAACGGCTCGCAAAGTATAGAACTATCATCCAGATACCTTCGGGCGGTATCGGTGTCCGATCGTCGCATTTTCAGACTACCTCCAGGGCGACTTTATTCAAATATTAGGTCTCTGCCAAGAGTTTGAGTGGAAACTATGTAAAAGAGGGTGGTCTTCTCGGATGATCTAATATCTGCAAGCGTCTGCAGAAAATTTCGGCGTCTGGCTTTTGAAAATATTTCGAGAGCAATCTCTCTATGTTTTCATCGGGCGTGTGTAACTTCCTCTCGGCCACCGCTTCAGCCACCGGTTCTGCCAGTCGCGCAAACGTAACCATCAATCTTTCCGTCGGACTTGAAGCGTAATTGCGCCGGTGTATCCGCGGCAATATATTTTTTGGCAGTGGGAGTGTTCGCGTTCCCGAGGTTTTATCATGCAGAGATTGCTGGTCCAGACATTTTCCGCAGCCGCGCTATTTTTACGCCGATAGGTTTTCCCGATATGCGGTTCTCGTTGCGATCCTCGGCGCAACGCGATCCAATACGCCTGGTTCCTCTTAGATCGCGTGATTTATCCGCCGACCGACCGACCGACGGATTAATCGCCGCCGTTACATTCTGCTAATGAGATACCGGGTTTGACGGATCGTGTGTCATATCCGCCGCTTGCCAAAACGCCCCGACCGATTTCCAAGATTGCGGTACTATTCCGAAGCCACCAATATTGCTCTCAATAGCAGAAGTATGCGGACTGCTGTAACTCTTTGTAAATGAACTACTTGACATACAAAGACGTCATCTATTTCTAACGTATAGGTGTACACAGTGGGGTTAAGCACTATTTACCATTATCAGCGAACGTCCATTCTACGAAGATTCTTTCGCAAGCTTACGGAAATTCACGTTTACGTGAAATTGTGTCAGGCCAAATCGAATTGCGTTCGATTCGTATGTCAAGGGGTTGATACTGTTGAAGGATGTTCTTTGAAGGAGAGAAGCTTCCACGATGAACGTGAGAAAGGGGTTTGTTTGTCGTTGTTCTTGGAATGTTGTCTGCGGTGCTGCGGATATTGAACAAAGGGACGGAAATAGAGGCTCGATGGAGGAACAAGCGTTCAGAGGACCGAGAGACATCTCTATTTTCGAACGACTGTCGCGATTGCATCCGAGGAACGAGTACTATGCTTTATTAACGGCAGAACTGCCGAAGCTGTTGCAGCCGACGTTCTTTCAATTTCGCAAAAAAAGATTAAAATAATTTTGAAACATCGGAAATAGTTCAAGGAATATTCGCCAAGGAATATTCGTGGATCTCAGGGGAAGGAAAAACAAACCAGATTGCCTGACAGACGATGCTAGAACAAATTAAGATGACAGCACGCCGCCGGAGGAACCGTTTTCTCAAGAAATCGGAACGTCTGTCAAATATCTCTATTTCTCGATTGTGTAAACATTTAGAGAGATAGGGAGAGAGAGAGAAAGAGAGAGAGAGAGAGAAAGAGAGAGAGAGATTCAAATATTGTTTTACTGCTGGCGGATACTTTGTTAGGAAAATCCCATCATCGAAGACGGGAGGGCATTCGCAGACAGAGGGATTTTTTACAAAAAATATTTATACTTGTCTGCAAGGTGTGCAAATAACTCGCGAACAAAAATAAGATCTCTCTAGAGGCTACTCTGCTCTTTGTTCCACTATATCCGCTAAACATACTGTCCGTTTCAGGGTAAACTTCACCGAAGAAGCTGAAGAAGCTGAAGAAGTGGCTGGAAAATATTTGGAGGATGTGTTTGCAAGAAGAAGAAACTAGAAGGATTTATCACGAATAGTCTGCCTATAGTATTCCTAGAGAGAAGTTTCTGTACTATAAAATGGAATAATTTGTTAAAAAGTGGAGCAAACGATTAGAAGGATTAGTTTACTAGAATATTCGTAAAATAATGCGATACGCGTTTTATAAATTCTCAAATCCAGATGAAAAATGTAGAAAGCATTTTTTATTAATAACTTCAACATATGGCAATTGTCTTAAGATTTTGTCAACGTGATTCTTCTAATACTTCAGGAAGGCTGAAATCGTTTGGGCCAATATTAAAAAAGTAATTTTATAAAGCTTTTCCATTTTAAAAATCGTACAGAGGTGTCTCTTTGTAGAAACGTGGACGCAGGCAACATGGGAAAACGAAAGAAAAAGAGACCGATCAAGGAAGATGTGAACTTGCCACGATAAAACATTGGTCCCCGGTAAAGGGTGCAGCCTATGGGGTATAGTAGGAAAAGTAGAAGTAGAAACGCGGATCGAGTATGTAGGTTGCAGATGGATTGGCTTACCGGGGCGTCCCAGTCATTAACGAACTGTGGTTGGCGAAGGCACCCCCATAGTAATAGGGCAACCCATCCCCGTAGTACGGCATCGCGGGAATCCAAAGAGTGCGTGTGCGTGTTCACGTGCGAGATAAAAGATCGCGGGTGATCGAGCACCGGGTGAAAATGCGGTGGCAGCTGTTCCACGCCACTATCTCGAGACGACTGAGAGACACAGCACGTCGGAGGGAATCGCGGAATCGCAGACTCGCGTTCCCTCAGGTGTTCGCGGAGACGTTCTCGCGGTTCAGCCAGCCAACACCGACTGAGTCGAAGCCAGCGACCCAGTGTAATAATAGAAGTCTAGTGTGCGAGACTTTTCCTAGCGCCTAACTATACTAGCTGGACTCTAATAACCCGTACAGTCTCTGCGAAACGAATATTTCACAGATTTCTCCCTCTCTGCACTGTTCTCCAAAGAGGTTCTCCGCAAGCTTTTGAATCCACAGAATAGGGCGATTCCGCTAAGACAATCTTGAAGAACTTTAGCTTCGCCAGCTCTCCAGCTTGACAATGTTACCCCTTGCCTCAGGACATCTTTTCGAGATGCAGTGAGTACTTATTTGCTAGTAGAACTTGTAACGTTTGGACCACGAATCCTCGTGCCGATACTGTTCAAGATAGCTGCCGAAAGCAGAGGCGATGGAGACTGCAGAATATCGATGCGCAAAAATATGCACAGAGCCGTGTATTGTTTTTGTTTAGAGAAGTGGAAGGGAGCCGTTATTAGAGGTATTTTGAAATTCCGATTGTTGGCAGAACGTTTCGGTTGCAGGTCTATACAGCTAATCGCTCTATTGTCTGTGATCTAGCAGTCCAGGAATTCCTTTGTCGATCGCCGTTTAATTAGGGAACGGTTTTTCACATGCAGTAAGCGGTTCACGACAAACGTAAGCAAGTTGCAACGAATGCCAGAAACGTTCCACGCGAATTTTCGGCGAGGGTTCAGCGAGGGAGTGTTATGCGAATATTTATGCGAGGAACAACACACACATACATGCGCGCGCGCGCGCGCATATACACATGCAAATGGGAAACGCGCAAGCATAGAGAGACAAGCGGTGACGGATCGCGGACGCGGTTTTCGTGGATTGTTTCTCGAGGAACGAGCCAAAAAGTCGTTCTCTCTTTGACGCCCATTGTTGATCAAGCTCGGGGAAACTTTGAAATAGCCAGCGCGACGAACGACGATTGCTATTCTCGGTTCTACGGACAATTTAATATAGAAATGGACAGGTGACTGGTCGGGACCGAAACGCAAGATCCAGACACGTCGCTGACAGTATATTCCTATCCGTACTGGCGTTATACTTGTATAAAATCATCGCAGCACCGTGCGATATTTCAACAATCCATTCGAGCAAAATTAGCTGGGCTTTCCCGGTTACAAAATTATTTAACATTCGTGATGCATCGACTCGCAGCTATTTTAGCTTCGATTACAAAAATATATTACCATCGTATGAAATAGCAAAGAATTTTGCAAATGTATCTGCTTCGTAGAACAACGTTTTCAATGATCTTTATTCTCTTAGATCGATAGAGTATCGCACCGTGCGATGGTTCCGAGGCTCGTGAAGGTAACCGGTAAGGGCTGCCGAGGACACTTCTGTATTGGCTACTTACCATCGCACCTGAGCCCTTGCCGGAACAGGCCGTACAACAAGGATCCGCAGTGGTCGCAAAATGTTGGCGACATGAAAGTGTGGGTGCGAAACCTGTGAGGCACATCTACCTTGAAACGCTCCCTCAAGTACTGCCATTGAACAAGTATCAACAGAATTAGAACGTTTCCGCCTGAGCAGATCGTATAAATAGGAAGGATGATGATCCATCGGACTCATACGTCTCGAACAGTTTTGTACCTTGAACCGAGAGATAACGGGGGCGACCTGATCGAAGATCCATCCAGTGTCAACAGTTAAATGTTTAATTATTCTGTCCAATCTTCGACCAGGTTGCAGAATATTCGATATAGGAACCTGACAGTTTTCGATGGAAAAATTCCACAAGCGTGTGTGGTATTGAGGATCATTGAAAATCGAGCGTGAAAATAGAAGGCAGTTTCGTAAATCAAGCTAGGATCTAGGTGGATGCACGGAGCTGCATCGCCGAGCAAACAAACAATCGTGTTTCCGTTTAGAGAAGATTGACTGCGTTCGAGGAAAACGCTGCTCGATTTTCGACGAGCCCCGATGATGGAATGGAACAGTCTTGGCCGTGTCTTTCTGGATGCTGCTCCCTCTTCGAGAACTTCCTCGTGAATCTCTGGCCAGTGAAAGACACTTACTATCGTGTTTTCCGATTCCCTCCCGCTCTCTGGACACTTGGTCAACAGTTTGTCGTGGCACTTCTTGTGCACCGCCGTCTGGCAGGCTGAAACACGCATAAAAATCATCCTTAGTTGGAAGACAAACGTTGGAAGACAAGTACTTCTTCGGTTAAGGTATAAGATTTTGTTCTTTGCTCTCTCATCGACATTATTTCCAGGGACATGCAGCACCTCGGAGAAGTCGCAGGAATATTTGGAGAACGCTCTTAAGAAACTACAGAGAAGGTAGTAAACATTGGTAGTTAAAATGTAAGCTCCTATTCTTTGCATTCATTGGTATTTCATTCAGGATCATGCAACACCCTGGGATGGGCAGAACTATCCTGATGATCAAGGATGTCGAACAGGCTCGAATAATAGACTGGATCAAGGATCCCTTCCGGTATTTACCTTGGCACTGGTACCCCTGCTTGCCGAATCCCCTGCGACAGAAAAACAGAGAGAGAGAGAGAGAGAGAGAGAGAGAGAGAGTGCGCGCGCGCACGCTTTAGATTAATCAGCGAACACGTTCCAACACGAAGTGGCCGATACTTGAATAATGCTAGTCTATTTTTAGATGCATCTGTATAAAACCACAGCGTTCCGCAGCCGCTATTTTATGATAAATGGAGAGATCCGCTCCGTGTTGTTAGCAGCCAACTACGCGTTAGAACTAGGCCCGAGTACTTTGATGAACGTCTGTTTACTTCAGGAATTCGTTTGCTAACACACCGCTGTAGATATTCGACAAATAGTCGCCTCGTCGGCTACCTATCGAATACCTGCCATTGATCCAGAAGCAAACGTCCGATCATGGTTGAAAAGCAGTGAACAGTTACCAGAGAAAGTCTTTGCAGAAGGCGCAGAAGGTCGGCTGCCTGAAGAACTTGGCAACCAATTTATGGCCCCTAACAACATGCACCTTATTCTGCTTCACCGCTCCTCTTCTCCTGGTGATAGCACCGCCAACCTTCTCATGGATCCCCTGTTCAACTGCAACCGCCGCAGCAACGTCCCTTCTAGGGACCCTGGTCTTGTACACGTATGTCTTGCCGGTGGACGTCGACGGAGGCAAATCAGCCGGGTTTAAAATTGGAACTCGAGTCCTGAAATATTAATTTCGATCAGGAATCAAGGATAGTCTGATTGATTAATTGTAGATGCGGTCGTACAGTAGAGTTGGGCATTCAGTGGACAAAATGTTTACTCGAATAAGTATACTACAATGTATAGTGATTTTCTATACTCTATTCGACTATGTTAAGAGCTTTCAGGATATTACATCCGAATGTTACAAATCAAATTTGCCCAACTCTGGTATACCGTTTTCAACGACTACGTACCGGCCGGCTCACCTGTAAATGTAGCCTTCCGCAGGCGCGCGGGTCTGCGGACTCTTACGGTCTGCCGATGACTTCCGATCCGCTGAGGACTTCCGGTTCGAGGACGCGCTGCCACCGGTATTCCATCTCTTGGCGTGGGAGCCTCCGGTGAACATCATCTTGAAGGATTCAAGGTCAACTTCTCACTCTTAGAGAATATAAGTCTGCTCTTCCTCATCTGTTAAAGTTCGTCGGGAAGAGAGAATTCCTAATCGTAACACTATCTCTTTAAGGTCCCTAAACTAGAAGGTCTGCATCTCGGGAGCGTTTTCTGTTGGTCGCCCAGAAGCATTCTTCAGGAATCAACGATCACGCGGTTGTACCGTTAGATAGAGGATAAACAAGATAATGATTGATATTCGTTTGCAAGTACTGCTATTGGCAATGATAGACAACCATCAACATCGACTAGGCAGCGCTGGCAAGCAGCCTCCGCGGAGATTCGAACAGAAGGCCTCTGTTCCAATCCTTGAGGACAATCTAAAAAAAGGTAGACTATCAAAAACCCACGATGTCCGACGCACGGGAGCTTCCTTTCTCTCTCTCTCTCTCTCTCTCTCTCTCTCTCTCTCTCTCTCTCTCTCTTTCTCATTCACTGACAAATTTGTAGGGTGACTAATGCGCGGGGGAAGAAACGATGCGTCGAAGAAGTGCCTCTAGAACGTGGTAGATGGAACCGGGTTTTCCTCCGTTTTCGGACTCCGTTCTCGTTCGGGCGATTCATTGTCTCTCGCGACCATAAGCAGTACCAGCGATGTTCAAAACGTCAGCTACACGTCTCCGCTGGTCGCACGTCCGTCGATCGATGCACACCGATTGATCCGTATGCGTTTTTCGCAGGGCTTCCGGTGAACAGGACACGATGATACAGAGAGTCTCGGTCACCACGGCGGTCCGAAGTCCATGGATCATCGATACGGTGCTGTCGAGAACACAGGAACTGAATTTTGACGCCTAAAACGTTGTAGGTTTGCGCGAAACTCTCGAATCTATAAATATCAGCCTGTTGAATGCCGCCCGCCATCAGGCCTCCTAGCGCCGCACGCGGAAAATATTCTAGATCCCGATGATCATTCGAGTGTTCCAGCCTGGAACAGTCCCCCGATACCTTATTCTCACACTCTTATCGTCGTTCGAATCCAACATCTTAATAATAATATTTACAGCTTTACGCTATTCCCAATGTAGCATCGAGCTCGACAATGTTCCTCTATCGTTGCGTTTCTGTCCGTCTCCTCCGGTATTCGGTGTGCGACGAACTGCGAGACGATATGGAACCCTTTGATCGACGAGGACACTAACGTGAACAATTCCCTTTACGTCTCGCTGGTTTTTCTGAGTTGAAGGAGGAAATTGGAATGCAGGCGTCGACTTTTTATGCAAACGTTTGTATTTAGTTAATGTAATTAACGATGTGTACAGTGAATTTTGTTTCTGTATGCAGCAAATACAGAGAAACGTAGTTACTCGTGGATCGTATCGGTGATTAGCGCGTTAAGTAATTCCCATAGTTCGTTACCGGCGCGTCACGCAAAACAATCATGACGATAACGCTCTCGGCCTGGTATACTCGTTACCTGGCCGAAACATGATTGATAAATATATTGCTAAGCAAAATGTTAGAGAGGAGCCGCCTTGAACACAGCCATACAACTTCACACGGTCTTGCCTGGCGCTATTTACAAATTAAAGTACAATTAGTTACAGGGATTCGACACTCGTACACGCGTCGATGTTTCCTCGCTTTTTTTTGTGCTCGCAAGAATGTTGAAGATTCGCGGCGTATATATATGTATATGTTTGTGTACGTGTGTATGCGATGTGCAACAAAATCGTTTTCTCGGTGAGCGTGTGCGATTTTTTCGTAATGTCTTGATTGCTCACGGCAGAACTACGCGTCTAAATAAAGATGAACTTAAGACGGTATTCGTTCGTACGTACAGTTTTAATTACTATAGCCGACCGGAAACGTAAATCTATAATGAAACAAAAGGTAACGCTATGATAAAGGTTTATGACAAACCTTGCAGAGGAATCTGTAATTAAAAGTATGACACGCTGTTGCATCGTTGCTGTCTCTCGGTTCCTTTTCTAATAATTTCTCTCTTCGTTTCTTCCATGATACTCTTCCGTATTAACTATGTATATTATAACTATTATCAAAAACTGTCTATCTAAATGACTCACGCGCAGTGTTTTGTGTATGTTTGTGTATGTGTGTGTACGCCAACGCATTTAAGAAAAAAAAATTCCACTCGTGAAAGAAATTGGGAATGATCAGAAGAGGCATTCCGTGACCGCGAAAACTATGAAACGACCATTAATTGTTCAATGTAGTCTGCGTGAACAGGAGACAGAGGAGATCTACGATTTTGTTGTCGCATGTTGATCAACTTCCTGTCTGGTCTAGGACCAGGCGCGTGCCACGGGATCGAGATCGAGATCTAAAATCTTCCAAGGGAAGGCACAAATCATAGCCATTCTATTGCGCACGTGTGTACTATTATAGATAGGGCCTGATATCTGAAACGTTCTTCTCTCATTCGACTCTTGCGCGGACCTCCGAGTACCAGAGCGTACCGGAACCAAACTGAAACATCTCACAGCGTCGATTAAACGATTGTCAGTGATCGGTCGCCATCTTCTTCGGTTGACGTTCCTGGGCGCGTTTCAGCCGCTGCTGCAGAAGATTGTGCAGTTGCTCGATCTCCTTGGGAGCTGCCTGGACGATAAAGATTCGGATAGCACCGTGGACGTCCATCGCCGTTAATCTGAGCGACTTTGGTGCTGCCCTTTCCGCCGTCATGCCGGGCCATACTTTCGTGTTTAAGATTAATCTTTGTGTGCCGGCTGTGCGGCCCACCAAACGGGACTCTTCATCGTCCCGGTCGTTCAGTCTCAAGGTGCCTCTTCCTCTTTCCTGCCAACTGCCGCTGGCTTTGTCGAAGGCAAACAATTTGCAATTTATCTGCAACACGTTCGTCTCTCCTTCCTCACCGGTCAACGGTGTCACTTCATTGTACTTCCTCTTGTTCGCACGGTTCGCTTCTTCGAGTTCCTGCGCCGCTTGCGTCAAGGTCAGACCTGGTCTGGTCGTAGGACGACACGCGACAGGAGCGTTGGAGAACAACAGTTCCGAGGAACCGTTCTCGTTCGTACTTTCCTCTTTCTTATCTTTGTCGTACGCGTTCTCCGAGACCTCTGTATCATTCGCTACCATCACTCGTTCCTTCAGGTTCTGACCGAATACGAAGCTGGGTTCTGAAGTACTGGGCGCTACCGAATTATCTACACTGTTACTTTCGTTATCCTTCGTACCCGCACCGAGTGGCAGGAACCTGCACTGTGCCTCTTCCGATGTTTTCTCCTCGGACTTTGTTTCTTTCTCTTTTTCTACTTTTTCTTCTTCTTCTTCTTTCTCTTTTTCATTTTCTTTCTCTTTTTCTACCTCTTTCTCCTTCTCTTTGTCCTTTTCTGATTCCTCGATTTTGTTATTCTCATGCGAGGTTTCGTTCTTCTCCTCAACGGGATCATCCGTTACTTTAGCAAACGGATTCTGAAACTTTGCTGGCTGTAGAAACGTTTTGCTAAGTGGTTGCGGGCTAGTCGTCACAGCTCCCAACTGCGAAGGCCTCAGTATAGACGATCTTCTCTTGTTAGCTAACGATTTGGTAAAGTCATTGTTCCCAAATTGATTGCCAAATTTTGATGCCGCCAATATCGGATCTATAAAGAGACCGTAAAAAATACTTTTATGGTCCTTGATTAGTAAATCATCGATGACAATAGAACTTACAATGTGGTTTACTGGGAGACTTGTTAGAACTCGATGAAGATGCTTCTGTGTTATTATCGGATGGTGGACTCTCCATTTTGTCTGAAACTAAATGCAACCACTCTTAATGTGCATCCAACCGTGCAGACTATAACCTGTGTGTTTACAGATAAATGTCTGAACCAGAAATGCTCCAGATTTAATCGACTGCCCTAGTATGCATGGGAGAGGCATGTCGTGTGAGCAAGAGTAAAGAAAGGCTGTAAAGAAAACAATTACGCGTTGAAAACAAAAAGCATCAGATTCTATTTACCAGTGGTAGCGTGTTTAGACGGGTCCACCGACGATTCCTGGGGCGGGTCTACTTTTAAAATATAAGCCGGTCTGCTCGTTTCTTCGTTGCTCTCTAGATAAACAGTTAAACAGATAAACAGGACAATTAGAACGATTGTCAAACAATGTTGGTTGGTCAATCTGTCGAAATTGAACGTGAGTAAATATTCTGCTAGGAACATCTATAGAACGTTGGACTTTCAGAGAAACTCGATACCGATGGCTCTCTGCCTATAGCTAATCGAGATCGTTTCATGTAACTGTACACAGTTCGAACCGATAGTTTATTATTTCATCAGAGAAGAATCACAAAACGCACCCTTGCAGTCCGCCATTTTTTACGTGGAAGTGATTACGCCGCCACCAGTGTCATCTGCATGTGTTTTTTCGAAACCATGAGAAAATGGCGGGTTCGTAAGCACAGGGGTTCGCAACTTTGTTCGATTTTGGTCTACGAAATTTGCGGTAAAGGAGATCAATCGATTACCTAGGATTCAAATAACGAGAAATCAAACAAGCCAGAATTTTATTGCATACAATTTTCAATGCGCTGCTTGACACGATAAAATCGATTCGGATTTACGTTGTTGACCGATGCGTTTAGGATTACGTCGAATTTCTGTAAGTCTCACTTGCAAATGTGATCTGAATTCACTGTGAAATTTCGTTGAAAATCTCTATAAAGATAGTCTACTATTTAGGGCCATGCTTAATATCGTAGAGAATATTTGAAAATGATTCGATTACCTTTCGTGAACTTTCAAATAATTGTAAATATTCTTCGATTATGCGATTTTCTGATGACCACGGTGTACAAATGTATACTTATTATGTATGTACTCCGTGCTGATGACGCCATCATCCAGCATACATCAGCAAATTATACATCTAAGGTTAAATTGAAGTTACATTATGTACCAAATTCGAATTTCGAATAAACATGATTGTAAATAAAGGTACATACATTCCTTATCGTCTTCAATGTAATCGAGTTTCCGACGTTTTGGACTTAAATTAGAATTTCCGTTGTGTATATCGTTAATTTGTCTAATTTATTTTGGCGAACGTTATCGACGCACACCATGATAACACATAGTGATTGTAGATTTTTCTGTTCGAAAAGCTATCAGCAGTTATCGTGGACAGTATGGTGGCAAAGTCAGGAGTGGGAGACGTTTAAATGACGACGCTACAGCAAAATTTCCGTAGTCTTCTAATACGCACGGTGGAAACAACGTGGGTCGCTGATTTTCAAAGAATTTCTGTATAGATACGGAACAATTATGTCTCTAGACGAAGTAAATATACCCTCGTGTTCAGTATACATACATATATATATATATATATATCTTAATTAGTGATCTTATTTGTTTGGTTCGTTTACATTGTGTTTTTAGCATTTGTTTTTGCAGTCAATATTCTCGTCTATAATTTATATCGCATTTGGCATGTTTGTTGGTTTTAACAGAAATATCATTTACAGAAATTTAACAAGGCAGCCGAGGAGGTCAAGGAACTGAGTTCTCAACCTTCAGATGCTGATATGCTCGAACTATATTCATTGTACAAACAGGCTACTGTGGGAGATTGCAATACAAGTATGTCAAATAAGTTCAAATCTCGTAGAAACGTGTGCAATTCAATTGCATTACACGAAATTAGTACATTATAAAAACATATTGTGTCAGTGTCTAGTTAGATAAAATGTAGTATTCGAATACTTGACCTTTGATCATCGCAGCATAGAAACCAATGGTCATTGCATAATTTGCAATGCTAATCGAGATGAACAGGAATGTTGAGAATTATAGAGAAGCTTAAGATGCAATCTAAATCATTAGTACAGGTAGAGAAACTCTTGAGATAAAATATTTCTTTCACATTGTAATTATTTTTCCAGCAAGGCCAGGCATGTTAGACTTTAAAGGCAAAGCCAAATGGGATGCTTGGGACCGCAAGAAAGGCATGAGCCAAGAAACTGCGAAGGAGAACTATATTCAAAAGGTGGCTGAACTGGTAGCTTCCATTGGGAAAAAGTAACTTCCATTTGCACAAGATATTGTATATGCTGCATAACTATTGCACGCGTACACAGAGATTTTACTGTTTTTTGAATCTTCCATTTTCTTACCAATGCGCGTATACAACATAGGATCCCAAGACTAGTTCATTTTTTATATACTCAAGAGTGCAACAGTTGCAAACACGCTTTTATACAGAATGTGGAATAGCGAAGAATTGATGATCCGCGATCAATGAATCGGGGACCATCGATCTCGACAATGAAATTTCTACGACTATTTCATATTCGGTGTCGTTGATACAGACATACTCGTCCAAATACTTCTCTTGTACTTTGCTAAGGCTGATGACGACGAAGATATTATAATGAGATATAATCTCTCTTTTTCTTAGGAATATTTTACACATGTTAGTTAGCTTGTATAGTCGCATTGAAGTATATACTTAATAAAAACAAAATAAAAAAAATAATAAACAATATTGCAGTAAATAAAAGGAAATACATCTTTTTAGTAGACCGGTACCATGACCTATTCTCCATCTTCAAACGCAATCCAGCAAGCTATAATTTGGAATTGGCAGACAAATAAAATGAGAAAAAGAATAAAATAATAGAGATATACTAGCGTGTATTAATAATGTATTTTATGTAAGTTTAACATTTCTTTCTTATCATTATATACACATACGCAAGAAACTAACTAAGAGAAAAGAAATAATATTACGACATTTGAGTGTTTTTAGGTAAACATCGCGACAGAACAGAAAAAATCCTAAGCCTTCTCTGTATCCCTCTTTCATGGTTCGACTAAAAAAGGAACACATCATTAACGTCAACATCATCATTCATACATTGTGAACATTTCATACTGATAAAGAAGAAATTGATGTCCACAGTGTAGATAGGGTCGGTGTCATTCAAATATATAATCTACAATAATCGGTATTACAATCGTACGAGTTTTTAAGAGCACTGGTTATTCTTTCTGCTCCATGAATTTGCTTGGTTCTGTGGACTCATTCGACAAGTTTTATTCAGTCCCAGATTATTTCACGTTTTTCAGACTTGGGAATATTAATTATTATAACTAGACTGCGGATGCATTTATAGGGTAATTGGTTTTCTAATTGGTTTCCGACTGACGGAACTCTTGATACATTCTAATTCCATTCGTTTGTCGTATACCGATCCAAAGAACGGTTTTATGTTTGAATAAACGGTTCGCAGTCTACGAATTAAACTTATAAGATAACGAATCGATTAATCTTCTAAAAAAACTAGAGTCAAGCGAAAACTTACCGTATGAACGTAAAACGGTGTCGAATCTCAAACAGAAACAACAGCCGCTTTATTATTTTAAAAAACAGAAAGAAAGAAAGAAAGACACGTGAGAAAGTTCTTATTGAGAACAACACCAGTAGTAGAGAACGATCTTCAGATAATTTTACAAACAAGTACAACTTGACAACGAATTTGTTTCTGTTTTTATTGATTGGAAAATACCGAACAGAGATTGGAGACCAGTCGATACTAAATTAATAAATATGCATCTCGTTTCTTCGCGTAGGCTCGCCTTTTCTCCCCGAGGAACCACACGACACCGAACACGTTCCCTTATTCTGAACGACAGCGAAAGCAGCGTTAATTAGGAAAGAAACGGAAATTTACATCGATATCGTAGTTGGCATACACAACATATGTATGTGCGCGCGTGTGTATAAGGTATATACGTATATGTATGTATGTATGTATGCATGTACAGTGGGGGATGATAGAAAATATTCGTATGCTATTCTCTAATGCTTCTGAATGGAGTTCGAGAAGAATTATTTTGATACGTTGTTAAAAAGCACTGCTATAAGTAATATATGCAATTCATTAAGATTGAGATTAAGTAAAAATTAGCAGGTAGCATATACGAATACTGCTTTGTTCTCTCACTGTTTGCGTGTGGATGAGTCCGGTTGGATAAGTAAAACACGAAGCGAGACCAACGAAGAACAGAATCAAGAAGAAGTGTAACGGAACAAGAGGGTAGAATGAATGAGAAAAAGAAAGACTGGAACTGTGGCCTCTATTTTCTCTTACTCTTGTCTGTGTGCTTCTTAGTGAGAGGTGGATGATGATGCGTCTTTATTCTGCTAGCCTTCAGATGATCACCGTGGACTGTTCTCGAGTTCTGGCCAGCCATCGCGGTGTCGCTGGCGTTGTCGGATAGCTGGCGACTTGTCGATGCTCCGTCGAACCTGGTGAAAACAGAGAAGGTGACGGGAACAAAAAACTCGGTGGTAGAATAATCTCGCAGCTTGCTCGAAAGTTTTAAAGGTTGTCGTTAAAGAGTGCCTGTCTCGATTCTTAAGCATATTTATGTTGTGTTTTGTTTTTTAAATAGAAACTGCATCGCGATCGCTCGAGTTAAAAGATTCCAATCCACTGTCATCGAGTCGCATACTGCCGCGGAGTAATCGCTGCTTCGATATCGTTTGCTGCACAAATGATAGAACGTGTGTATATACGTTTATTTTCTCTTTCTCTCTCTCTCTCTCTCTCTCTCTCTGTTTTTCTATCTCCTGTACGTTGCGTAGGAGAGGCGGGTTCGATGCGTACACCGTGTATTTATAACAAAGTTACAACAGGAATTTGCCGACGAGAAACGAGAAGAGACAATTGGGATAATATATAGCCGCGGTAACACGTCGAATCAACGATTATATTTTTCTCTATTTCTCTGTTTTGTCTCTCTGTCAGGTAGTTTAGTAGCAGGAACAACGTCTCGGCAGATCGCAGTGATTATTACTCGCAGACGTGAACGACGACAGGAATTTCTCAATTGTCGAGCAGAGATCGAGCGAGCGTGTTCTTCTAGAGATCTGTGATTTAACTGTACGTTATTGACTCTGGCACGCCGTTCACCGTCTTCGACTTCAGCACATCGTTTTCGAAGGACATTATCGTCTCCTTCCCGTTCTCGTAAACCCTGTGGAAACATCGGTGTTACTATTAGTTTCTTTTTTTTTTCTTTTATAAAAGTTCACGCATTCGCAGCTGGTAATATACTTCATATTTTCAAAGATTTTTGAAAGATGCGCGTGCTTTTCACCCGATTCCAGCTGGGAATGCGTTGTCAAATAGGACAATATGCTCTCTTACTTTTGCGTGGTAATCTTTTTGCCATTGATGAATCTAGTTGATGTGCTTGTCCTCTTGACAGCGCCGCCGCCGCCGCCGCCGCCGCCACTCCCGGCACGGGATGTGTCAAAGTTAGTGAACGTATCGAATGACGTGTATTTGATCGGTCCTGACGCACCTTCGAAAACGTTGTATGGTAAAAAACCGGGGCCGAATGTAGTGAACAAGGATGTACTTATGCTGTTACTGCTCGGGTGGCTATGCCTGTGGAAGCCTCCGTTGAAGACTTTGGGAAAATTAATAACATTGTTTTAATCACAAAAATTCGAGGATTTTTGTCAATTATTATTCAATTAATCACACATGGTCATTGCATTCGCTCGTTTCTTGTACTCGGCAGATTTGTACATCGACGGAGACATTGATAATTTTTCTTACGCATGCGCCACTTACCACTCATCTTGTACAAATCTGAGAAAACAGTACTGCCGAAGAATTCTCTAAACACATCCTCAGGATCCCTGAAGACGAACGTATTGGTGAAGTGTGTGTCGAACTCGTCTTCGTGCCGCCTCTTGCCACCCGGCATTTGAAGACCTTCCTTTCCATATTGGTCATATACTCGTCTTTTCTTTTCTGTAAAATCGTATAAAAAAGAACCACGATTAGTGGAAGGATCGTCGTGAAATCACAAACGCTTTCGCTTGGTTTTAGATGCTCCAAACTCCAAGAAGCGAATGCTGCAAGGGTTGCGATGTTAGTATAGTACTGCTTGGATAATTTCTCAACATCGGTCGACGAACATCACCGTAACAACAAACCCAGAGCAAAGAGAACAATCGTGGACATTCGATGGAATACAAAATTGTTCGTTAAGTCTCTCGGAACAACAAGATCTCATGTCTCTCGTTAGGTCAAGCGGTGGTTAGAAGCAGGCAATTATTAACTGCAAATACAGCGCCTCGTACACCGTGAAAAAGATGAAAGTATCTTTTCCACGTGCACTAATGCGAATGACCATCGAGAAACTCCATTAAATATCTCCTCGATCCTACTGTTTATCGAAAGCTCTACGGTAAGTTTATCCAAATAAAAAAAACAAATGGCGAATGACGAACCTTTTAGCTGTACAAGCATATTACTCATCGTGAGGAAGTGTTATAACCAGTATACTTGAAGAATACAATTAACTTTTGTTATTTAAATAAATTTTGCTGCACAGCTGAGAGGTTGGCAAAAGAAAATAGAAAAAGAGTAGATGGAAGGAAACAACGTTTGGCCTCTCTTTCTCTCTCTCTCTCTCTCTCTCTCTCTCTCTCTCTCTCTCTCTCTCTCTCTCTCT